GAGAGAGAGAGAGAGAGAGAGAGAGAGAGAGAGAGAGAGAGAGAGAGAGAGAGAGAGAGAGAGAGAGAGAGAGAGAGTGTAGGCGAACTGCGGCAAAACAGTTCGAGCAGCCATAGCCAGGAATCTCAAAACGGGAAGCACACACGAAAGTAGAGAATCACAAGCTTGTACAAACTGCAAACAGGAGCAGATGGAGCCAAAACAGAGCACATGCGGTCCCTCGACCGGTTTCGCCCGTCCACACAGGCATCGTCAAGAGGGTGACTCGATAGAGTCGTCGCGCTCGACCCACGCTCGAAAAAGGGGGACTTAAGCCATGTCCCCTGGATTTAAACTTGTCACCTCCGCCTCTTCCCCCTCGGCCATAGCACATACCCGAATCCATCTACCCCCTTCCCCTATGCAAAACATAGTAAGCTCGTCACTCGCCGGTCAAGAGTGCTATCCAGTCTGATCGTCGAAAAACCGATGCATCCGTATTTATCCCTATGAGTAGTCCCGGTACCCCTACTTTCAAAAACCAGCGTATTCCGCACATGCGCCGGTCAAGACTGCCATCCAGTCCGATCGTCACAAGAGATGAAATCCGTATTCGACCCTGTTTGTAGCCCAGGTTCAGAAGAAAAATACTAAACCCCCAGCCTGCGCCGGTCAAGACTGCTATTCAGTCCGACCATCTCAAACGATTGTGTCCGTATTTAACCCTAAGCGTATCCCAGATTCCGAAAAAATAACTACCCGCAGAAAAAACCCCGTCGGTCGTGAATCGTCAGACAGGTATGTCCCCCGTCCCGGTCCTCCCTGCCCTTGTTCATCCAGTTCCCCGGTCTACCCGGCTAGCGCGCATGTCCAGGGAACCCCCGTCGGCTACCTTTACCCAAATTCCTAGGTTCGAAAAATTCCAAAATTTCAAAATTTCAAAAGCTCCTCATCCGTTGCGACTCGCCGAGTCAACCTTTACCCCCGCGGTAACCAAACGTCACTTATCTCTGGATTTCCACCAGCGTGTCGAATTTCAAAAGCATCCTGTGCAGTGCTCGGTCGGACACAGCCTTGGCCAAATCGGCCAAAGCACCGAGAGAGACCTCCGGGGGATAACCCGGGAGGTCTGCTTCACAGATAGTGAATCCTATGGCCCCTAATACCAGTTGTTTGTTCGTGGCATGCTCCCACAGTCTTCTGATCGTCATTGATAAGACCGCCCTCTTAACGCTCTTAGCGGAATATGACTGGAAATCCTGAATCGTTTGGAACCGCAGTTCCCCTCTCTGGTAGAGAGTGTCAGTGTTCTTCATTACTGGTACGAAATGCAGTTGTAATGGGGCTGTGCAGATCAGCACGAGCCCCCCGACGAAGTCCCAAGCCCAACCACAGTCACCTTTCCGGACAACCTCTAGGTTCTTATCGTAGATTCCAGCAGGTGACTCTCCCCACCAATAGATGGAGCCTCTCCCCCGGTGGTAGCGGTGTCTGCTCTTATCAGCACCACTATCACCGGTGGAGGTGTGTTTAAAAAAAAAAAAAAAAAAAAAAAAAAAAAAAAAAAAAAAAGATTCCCTCGAAACGCTTAAAAACCTCTTCCTCCTCACAGTCGTTCTTCGCAAGCACCTTCTTACCAACAATAATCGTAATATCATCCATAATACGCCAGCCACCCACGAGTTTCCTATCGACTCCCAACTCTCTGATGAAACTCAATTCCGCCATGGCGCACGTAATTGAGGCTAGGATGGGGCTCGTCGATTTCCCCATCGGGATGCCGAAGACCTGTTTCACCAGCTTTGTCCCGCACCGTAGAACCGAGTGACTCAGTTCGTACTCAACAGCAACCATTAACTTAGACAACGATATCCCAACGTATCCTTCCATCTTCCTCCTGTTCTTACTAATGACGCACAACTTTCCTCTTAGCGAAACTCTGATCTGTCGGCAACCTTCATCTTCGTACCTCCGAAGAAGTGACCGTACGGCCACGAGCACCGCCTCATGCGGAATCCGCGAGAACATCTCCTTCACGTCATAACATCTTCCGACGGCGCTGTCGCACCCAGCAGTTCTCAGTTTCACTGTCGTTGCCCCCAATCGCTCGGCCAGCTCAGACACCGAGTTCAGCTGGAAAGTACAATTTGCAGGCAGTCTCACCAGCAAACAGTGTAAGGCACGTGCCACTCGTCGTTGCGCCAGCACAGCAGGATCGGCAGGAGCTGGTGCGATCGGCCTCCATCTAGTAAGGTTGTTATGTTACGGTATAACATAGGCTGTCCCAAAACGGTCGTCAGGTCTCCAGCCTCCGATTGTGTGTAGGCCCTTTTCCAAAAAGTCGGCTTTGTTCCTTTTCAAAATCTCAACTTCCTCCTCGATGTCGCCCACCTGCTCGTAGTTAGCATTCCACGCAAAAGTCTTCCCGAAGCCATGCCGATATAGAATCGGACACATAACAGCCGTGTCGCCTTGGTTCCGATCGATAGGAGTCAGAACGAACCCTCTAAACTTCACAGTCCATTCCCGTACCTCAGCGTCCGTCCAAGCCAGGCTCTCGGAAGCCCTATCTGTCCCTACTTCCTCCTGCAACAGCCATTTCATCAAAACGGACATATTATGTTTTTTGAACGAAATCAAAACTGACTTTTTTTGCCAAAATCCGGTCGGAATTTTTTGCTCCTGGGGGTCCGGCGTTCCCAGAACGCCGGACCCCCTACATGTATCTGGTCTATGGTTCTCAACCATAGACCAGATAGATGTAGGGGGTCCGGCGTTCTGGGAATGCCGGACCCCCAGGAGCAAAAAATTCCGACCGGATTTTGGCAAAAAAAGTCAACCATAGACCAGATACATGTAGGGGGTCCGGCGTTCTGGGAAC